CACACGCACACGCACACGCACACGCACACACACGCACGCACACACACACACACACACACACACACACACACACACACACACACACACACACACACACACACACACACACATATATATATATATATATATATATATATATCTCTCTCTCTCTCTCTCTCTCTCTCTCTCTCTCTCCTCTCTCTCTCTCTCTCTCCCTCTCTCTCTCTCTCTCTCTCTCTCTCTCTCTCTCTCTCTCTCTCTCTCTCTCTCTCTCTCTCTCTCTCTATGTATATATATATATATATATATATATATATATATATATATATATATATATATATATATATATACATGCAAGAGATGCTGTCGTCTCGGTTGATGTTCAGGCTGTGTTCTTTTCTCACGTGCTCTTTTGGAGCACCGTCAGCCAAGTGCATCGTCAACCGCCTTGAAAGTGTGGTGGTAGTGACATAAGCCCTCCTCCACGCATCATTTCAAAGACTGGTTCTTAACCTTTCCCAAAACGCTTAGGCACATGCCGTTCTCTTGGTAATAGCTTTCTTCCCTCACCTTATCAAACACGCATTGCAAGCCAGCTGAGATTCAGGGAGAGACTGTTCCAGGCTGTTGTGTCAGTGAAGGGCAAGCAACTCTAACCTACTTTAACTCGAATGTGTGGCAAATGAAACGACCGCTGTGTCAATTTCAAGCACAACGAATGTTGATTGTAAAGGTGTTGCTAGTTGAGCTGGCACCTCAGTGACCACCTTCGTATAGGACTCTTGAACCTCTGCACAGAACCGGGAAGTAGGAGAACTACATAACATAAATTTGACTGCACCAGCTCTCAAGCCTTAGAACAAAAACCCCGATGGCCGGCGTTGCAGTCTCCGTACGCTGCTCGGCGTCGGCCTCCTTGTCAATATTGGGCGATGGCCGGTGAGCGGACGAAAATGGCAACGTTTCTGAAGGAAGTTCTTTTGAAAGCCATAATATGTCTATTAGAGCGTTAAGAAGATAATTCGGGAGCGTGTTTCACCAGTGCTATTCATATATTTATAAAATGAACGGATCGGCGCTCACAGCACTGCGAGCCGTTGATGGGATTTGGTGTAGTATTACATACACAAGGAAACATAAAACCACTTTTCCCGTTGATACGCTTTTTATCCATTCAGAAAACGTTATCGGCATTCCAAATATGTGAAATTTACGTTCCGGTCTAATGTTTGACCGATACGAACCCATTTTGAAAGACTTTCGGAGGCACTATTTTACTCGGTTGCTCTCGCGCTCCAGACGCCTGCCATCCGGTGTTGGTCTGCTGAGGACGCTCGATTTCATGCTTTCATGGCAACTGCAACCGCGGGCGCCTTTTTTTGCTTTTAAGACCGCGAGTACGTAGCCTCAATTATTATTTCTTTGTAATATATTTCACATGCTGCTCCGGATCAAGAATGCATGCACTGATATAACTTTCTAAAATGGGTTTGGACTGAGCCAACAAAGTTGATCTAAACTACTCTCAAATTCTAATTTCCGTCTGAATTTCGGCTACGTTGATTTCCATTCCTGATGTCCAAATTAACTTTGAAAATACGTGGCCGATTCCAAAGTTGTTTTGACGTTGAAAATTGGCTTGCCTTTTGAATCCGATGTGGCAGTGATAATGGTGATATATAAAGATTATGATATAAATAGTGGTGCGTTTAGGACCGTCTATACCAGTTCAGACACCAGCTGCATTTCATTAGCCGGGTGCTTCCTTTCCACATTTGTATGGAGGTTTGAACTGAAATAGCCAATTTTGAAAATCATTCGATGCATTTCACAACCCTACCCTTCGTAAAGGGAACGCTCGAAATTTGAAGATATGGTGAAAAAAGATATGGTGAAACAAGCATCAGATATGGTGAAATAAGATCACGTTTAACTATCTGTATATTTATAAGTGAAAAAGTTTGTTCCAGATAACACAACTTCTCTGTATAGTGAACATGCTCCTCATTACGTCATTGTTTAGTTACGTCATCGTACCTTGCACCACACTGATTGAGAGCCAATTGACTCGTGTCCACTAATGCCAGATACAAACGGCTCGACCATTCTGTTTGCCTTGGCCTTGAACCGTAGGACTTATGAAATGGCCAAATTTGAATAACGTCATTACGTCGTCTTGAATACTAAGGCGATGACAACATCGATCGGCGATTTAACTACGCACAACATTGATTGACAGCCTATCGACGGCCGTTAAGTCTGGAGATCATGCTCACGAACGCCAGATGTGAACAACTCCACAATGGTATTTTCTTGGCCTTGATCGCCGCATAGCTAATGGAATGACGGGATCGGTGACAGTTAGCGTGATGTAAAATCAGCCAGTCAGCACGCCGGGGCCCTCTGTAAGGCACTATGAACTCCTGGCCGACACAGAGGCCTCAGTGTTTCAGGAGTCCCGCTCCCGACCAATGCAACTCGCGGTTCTCAGGCTTTTCCTCGCTTGGAAACTGGGTTAAAGGGGCTTAGACTGACAAGGAGCAGACTGTTCGTCGTTGCTGGGCTCTGGCCGAAATAGACGCTCACTTTGTTCTAAGGTGTCCCCAAACAGTGTAAGAGACTCTCCCACTAACATCGGAGGCCTCGGCCCTGCAGACTGGGGTCCGCAGTGTGACCTGCAGCCAACCCCTCGTACCTTCCAATTAGGCACTTGATCGAAGGTCCCTCTGCGGTTCCCTCGAGCACTGCCCCAGGCCGATTCTGGATTCCTTGCTCCACATCACCCTTGTTATGCACTGTGGTCTCCAGATCGACCCAGGGGCCTCTTCATTGTCTCAGGGGCCCTGACAGATGTAAATCGCGTGCCCTGGCCTTGTTCCTGTCTGGGAAATGCGTCCTGAATTTCAGACCTGGCGCTTGATCAATCTGGAGGCAAACCCGTCGCGTGTCACGGTCGTTAAACCTCCACCACAGGGGTGTATTTTCACAAAATAGACTAGGGACCTGAACGAGAGAAACCCTGCCAATAAGTACACATTTTGTTTTTGCCCGGTTTCCATCCACCTCTCTCTCAACGTAATAGAGTTTAATTTCTAACCAAATGAATAGGAATTTACAGCACTGATCCAATACGTTTATTTGCTCTACCTCGGCGGAAGATCTCGTTGGGCATCATTGCCATTTTGTTTGGCGTCGATCGTCAAAATCATGTTTCGGCAATCAACGCAGGTTTGATGTTATGTGACTCAGACGTTGTTAGACGCTTTGGGAGTGAAGGGAGTAGGTTGGTATGCGCGGCTGGGCTGGCTGCCCCGGAAACCCCCGCCTGGTAGCCATAAAACGGGCTGCAGGCTACAACCCAGCACTCGAGTTAAGCATGCTTGACACGGCTAGTGCTGTTTTGGTGGTCATCATCGGATGACTGCCGCTATTGGTTTGTCAGTTGGTGCCGATCGTCAAGCTTTTGTAACTGTTCCATGGGATATTCACGTCGAATTGGAGGTTGGCACATTTCAACGGTTCTTTTGAACATTGTAGAGTAAAGATTGTTAACATTTCTGGATGCCAGCATTTGACTGGTTTGTTTTTGTTTAAGACACCGTATCGCATCGTGGCAAAATAACGCAACTTGCTGCAATCCGTGGATAATTTAACATCTCTGAACAATACCAAAGCACTCAGACAATAGCATAAAACCTTATCAGAGTCAACAAGGCTTATTAATCGCCTAAGTAAAAGCATGCATCATGCTAAAAAGAAAACACTTAAATGAACACGCTACGAAAGCAAAGTTTTTGCAGTGTGACTACCCCAGTAAGCTGCACTCAGCTGAACATGACATCGCAGTGTGCATTTTCTTTGTTTCCTTCACCTGTTAAACAGCTAGTAAAAACCTTCTTTAGAATTGATTCCCCATTTATAATGCCCTGCTCGTACTTTGGCTCCAGATGGTTGGGGGCCAAACTCAGTGTTGGGGATGAGCCAAATCGGAGATTGGGGGGGGGGGGGGGGGCAGTGGCCCGCCAAAGGGAATACAAATTGACACCCGTATTAGCAATGCAAATGTACTTTGCTGCTTTCGTCGGTTTTTACGCTTGGCGCGAAATTTCCGCTCCTATGGCACGTGTAACACGAGACTAACACACTGCGATAGGCCATCGAACGGGAAATCCCATGGCATCACAAATGCAGGGTGCCACATTCCACGTATGGCCCACACACAGGTCAGTAATACGAGTTTTGCTCTCTTCCACCGGCTTAAACGTGTGATGCCACATCTCGGCACCCAGGGCAAGGATATGCTCGGAAGTGGCATGCATTGATAGGGAATCGAAAGAACAATCACGTGGTATAAATTGTCATGTCGCCTGCGCTGTGTGTCACGCATGCACGAGCCAGCACGATGGATTTGGTCATTTCCAACCTTCTTTACGTTTTGCACCATATCTCAACATCCAAGGCAGCCAAAACCTTCAATCAAACTGCAAAGATAGGGAATGCAAAATTCCATGCTTTCTCAGTGAGCGCAGCAAAGCAAGCGTGGGAACGCTTGTCATAGCGAAAGATTCGCCGACTGACACAGCAAGAGTGTGAATATCCTTAGTAGTTCAGGCGAAGGCTCCATGGAGGTGGATGATCTGCTTCGAACAACGTCGCCGATTGACAGCGCAGTTAGAACTAATATTTATTCGCGGAATAATACAGCCGTTTCATGTTTACAACCGGGCTCAGTGTAAGCCAACTGACAAACGGGACACCCACGGAGTGCCTGGCTAAGCAAATCAAATGCACTTATATACAAGACGGACGGCCCCTCTATACAGTGTAGCGGCGCGCCACGCCTCGTCATGCGGGACTGAGCGGTGCCACTGGCCGCCCTTCGATATGCCGGTTGGAATGTGAGGGGCAACGCGCGGCGCCGACCGGTGCGGACTGAGGTAGGCGTGGCTGCGGGGGGCGGCGCGCCCCGCTCGCCGGCCGGCCGGGGCGGTCTCCCCGGCGCGCCGCCCCCCGGCTGCAGCGGGCCTCGCCCGCGCACACCTCCGGTCCCGGTGACACGCAACACGACGGCTCGCTGCGCGGCGCCGCGCTCGCGCCGGCGGCCGGCTCGGAAAATAAAACAAACAAGGTCATATCACAGCGAAACTTTGGAGTCGGCGCGGTGGATGCGGCCAGGCAGCCGCCGGTGCGGCCGCAAGGACGCTACGCTAGCTAAATTAGGTGCTCCTTATCTCATACGTCCCTGGAACAGCAGAAGTTGACGGTTAGGAGACGGCAAGAACATGAGTCACTGATAAGTAACGCTGAAAACAAAGTGCGTTTTGGAAGAATGTAGCTCGCGCGAAAAGCGAAACCAACCGAAACACCACAAAGTCATGTTAGCAGTAAGCGTTCAAACGAAAGAAGCACGCAGTCGATCCACGACATTCTCAGCTGCCGCGGGGGCAGAATCGGCTTTCACACTGGATGCCCTCCCAGTTGCGTCTATTTACGATGCTCGTATAGTGTTGTCGCTGAGCAGAAACTCGAACTGGTTCCACTGGTCGGCCGGGCTGGCGGGCGGCGCGTCGGCGTCGGCGTCGGCCGCCGCCGCGCCCGCCGGCGAGCCGTCGTTGACGGTGATTTGTACCCGCGAGAGCACGCCGTCCGGCGCCTCCGAAATGTCGATCTTGACACCGCTCTGCGGCACCGCAGGGCCGATGGTGAGATGCGACGTGGCGTGAGACATGGGGCAGGGTGAATGGGACTTGGCCTGAGACGTGAGGCAGGGAGAATGGGACGTGGCGTGAGACGTGAGGCAGGGAGAATGGGACGTGGCGTGAGACGTGAGGCACGGATAATGGGACGTGGGAGTGCGTCCACTGCCCAGCTGATTTGCGGACTGGGTTTTATAAAGAGGACGGAAGAATGCAACACGCCCTCCGAGCCACGAGCCACACACAGCGTCTTTGTGTAGTACTAGATGTGAACCCGCACTTGGTGAAACGCTAAGTCCCATTGCAGGGATATGAAGAAACGTCACGGCTTTAAAAAGAGGTTTAACAAAATTACACCTTGGAGGTCCCCAAACACCTGCATGGAAACGCGTCTTAGAATGATTATTCCATCACATCCTGAATGGTATCGCAAAACACGCCTTAAAACCTTTACTGGCCACCAGAGTCGACAATGCCTGGCGTCGCAGCGAGGTGAGGCAAGGCGGCACTGGCAGGCCTTAGCCGCCGCCGCTGCTCCAGTGACAGCTTACCTCCGTGTTTTGTACGCTGGACGAGACACATGAGACGCCGGCGCAGCTCAGCTCGTCGGCCGAGATGTACGTGGTCGATATGTGTGGGCTGAGCTTCAAACGCTGCGCCAGATTCGTCGCCTCCACGATCGTCTGGCTCTCTTCCGTCTCTGCAGGGCGGAAAGAGAGGGCGGTCAGCACGGGCTGGCGCGGAGCGTGGTTGCGCAGCCAGTGGTTACCCGGAACCCATCCGACGTGCCTCGACTTCATAATGTATGGCACGGGCGACACGGCGTGCGTAGAACGGACGCCAATTTAAATTTGCGTGCTTCGACGCTTCCACCAGACAGTCCTCCGGCAGACCGCCAGCATTCGTCGAACGCCAACGATACAACCCAGCCATTATTCGGGAGCATAGGGGGTCCACATCGCTGACCACAGTGTCGGCCCGCCCTGCGTGGCGGCGCCACCGTCGCGCGCTCACCAGCTGTCAGCGCCTCGTCAAGGTCCTCGCCGAGCAGCCCCTCCTCAAACTCTGAGCCAATGCTCAGATGCAGACTGTTGACGCTGCTCACACCACTGCTGCTGTGCACGCTGTCGGAGCTGCGGCGAACACGGCGAGGCGTCAAGCGAAGGAGACGAGCCATGCGGTGACACAGTGAACAAAATAGGTGGGGTTGGCATGGTCAAGTCGACAAGAATCTTTTTGTTTCTTGGCACTGCAAGAAAGCGTGAAGCTGACCCCAGCTGAGATCACAGCTGACAATTAGCTTCAAATGGTATCAGGCGCTAACATCTCGCATAGTAACGGCTTGTAAGCCCCTAATAAATCATGCGGCATCATGTCCGCTACCCGTCGACCCCTGTGTGACATTCACCTGAGTAAGATGAGATAGCCTTCGAGCCGCGCGAGACCTCCCCTGGAGACGTGGTACCCTTCGAGCCACGTGAGACCTCCCCTGCGGGAGGTGGTAGCCTCCGAGCCACGTGAGACTTCCCCTGAGAGAGATGGTACCCTCCGAGCCACGTGAGACTTCCCCTGAGAGAGATGGTACCCTCCGAGCCACGTGAGACTTCCCCTGAGAGAGATGGTACCCTTCGAGCCACGTGAGACCTCCCCTGCGGGAGGTGGTAGCCTCCGAGCCACGTGAGACTTCCCCTGAGAGAGATGGTACCCTCCGAGCCACGTGAGACCTCCCCTGCGGGAGGTGGTAGCCTCCGAGCCACGTGAGACTTCCCCTGAGAGAGATGGTAGCCTCCGAGCCACGTGAGACTTCCCCTGAGAGAGATGGTACCCTCCGAGCCACGTGAGACCTCCCCTGCGGTAGGTGGTAGCCTCCGAGCCACGTTAGCTCTCTCCTGAGAGAGATGGTACCCTCCGAGCCACGTGATACCTCCAAGGAGAGAGGGGGGTACTCTCTGAGCCACGTGAGATCTCCCCTGCGGGAGGTGGTACCATCGAGCCACGTGAGATCTCCCCTGCGGGAGGTGGTACCATCGAGCCACGTGAGATCTCCCCTGCGGGAGGTGGTACCATCGAGCCACGTGAGACCTCACCTGAGGCAAGTGGTGCCGTGTCGGCCGCCCTTGAGCGCCTGGCTCTGCCGTCCCATATGCGGCGGCGGTGGCTGCTGCTGCCCACAGTTCCACGAGAGGCGCTTGTGTATGCTGGCGTCCCGGGCCTCCTGCTTCTGCGATAGCAAGGATCGCGTGTGTGACACCCATACGGTGCAAGTCAGTGGTGAGTCGCCGACCCAGCCGACGTCAGCGTGAACCGCCGGCTGATGGTGTCAGGACGGCTGGCCTGACACCATCGGCAGGGTAACTCCCACCACTGAGCCCCGCTGCTGAGCCGCAACAGTCTCCGGTTTCGGTGTCGGGTGCGGTGTATAACCAGTGCCGTGCGTGGTTGGATGCGTCAGGGCGGATCTCAGCGCGGAAAACGAGCTGTGTGGTATCATTCGGGTTGAGCGCAAACAGGCGGGTAATGCACAGCTGCAGGCGGGACCGAGAAACACCTCGACGTGCTCAGGTACGTCTGAAGATGCCACAAAGCCAGAGGCATTAGTGTGGGGCAGAACCTAGATGTTCACTAGGAACTAGATAAGAATACGCCAACATACTACTGTCTGGGTATAGATCACAAGATCAATGACACAGGAAGGTTCATCGTCGCATACCATCGGAGGACGCAAGGCAACACAGTCGAGACGGACAGCCCCGAAAGCATAGTCACAGAGTGGTCATAGTCACTAGTGGCATAGTCACTCGCGCGGCGCCTCCGTCCCCCCGTCCCACCACGTGTCCCACCTGTCCCACCACGTGTCCCACCGTCCCACCACGTGTCCCACCTTGATGTCCTCGATGGCACCGGCCGTGTGGTAGCGACGACTCTCGAGGCGGTCGCGCGAGTGCCGCCGACTGCGACCGTCGCCGTCCACCTCGGTGTCCTCCGGCTCGGCGGTCGCGCCTGTCGGCCGAGCGGGACCAGGGTCATCCCACGGCACGGACCGGGGCGCTGGCGTCACGGGCGGACGTGCCGGTTAGTCCACATCACTCGTCGGTGCAATTGTGTCGCAAAAGTAATGCTTGATTGGCGACAGAACAAAGTCCTTATGCAGAGAAGCGTGGGTTTGGGACGGGGTAGCCTTCCGCTTTATATGGGTTTGGGTCGATGGAGCCCACCGCTTTACATGAGTATAGGGTGGGGAGCCTGCCGCTTGACATGGGTTTGGGGTGGTAGAGCCTACAGCTTCACATGGGTTTGGGGCGGGGGAAACTGTCGCTTTACATGGGTTTGGGGCGGGGAAGCCTGCCGCTTTGAGAAATAGCAGGTTCGACCTATCGATGCCCTCCAGCGCCGAGCAGGGCCGGCAATAGCTCGGAGCACACCAGGCAGGACGCTCGGCTCCTGGGACCCGAGTCTGCCGCCAGCGGGACCCGAGTCTGCCGCTAGCGGGACCCGAGTCTGCCGCTAGCGGGACCCGAGTCTGCCGCTAGCGGGACCCGAGTCTGCCGCTAGCGGGACCCGAGTCTGCCGCTAGCGGGACCCGAGTCTGCCGCTAGCGGGACCCGAGTCTGCCGCTAGCGGGACCCGAGTCTGCCGCCAGCGGGACCCGAGTCTGCCGCCAGCGGGACCCGAGTCTGCCGCTAGCGGGACCCGAGTCTGCCGCCAGCGGGACCCGAGTCTGTCGCTAGCGGGACCCGAGTCTGCCGCTAGCGGGACCCGAGTCTGCCGCCAGCGGGACCCGAGTCTGCCGCCAGCGGGACCCGAGTCTGCCGCTAGCGGGACCCGAGTCTGCCGCCAGCGGGACCCGAGTCCGCCGCTAGCGGGACCCGAGTCTGCCGCTAGCGGGACCCGAGTCTGCCGCCAGCGGGACCCGAGTCCGCCGCTAGCGGGACCCGAGTCTGCCGCTAGCGGGACCCGAGTCTGCCGCTAGCGGGACCCGAGTCCGCCGCTAGCGGGACACCCGCGCACACAAACACGGCGCTCTGTAATGGTGCCGGCGGCTGGAGCTGGCGGCAGCGGCCGCTAACGAGCCGGGTGCCGTGTCAGACCATCAGGGACGGACACGTGCACCGCCCGCGACACGTGCACCGCCTTAGCCCCGGGAACTGAACGCGATCGATGTAGCTATTCCAATCTGCTCGGGAACACCAGGCGTTTTCGAAAGACGCGGAACCTTCTTGCAGATTTCTCTCCGCAGTCGGCCAAATGGCTGACGTCAGATGAGACGGAGCAACCGAGCTCAAATTCATCATTATGGCGGGAGGGGGCCAGATATGACGAACGCCGCAATGACATCCCCTGAGTTCATGATCCGCTAAGGTAATTCGCATCGCCACACCATGATATAAGCCAGAGCCAACAACGGTTTCCTTGCACAGCCCAGGTATCGATCTCTCTCGTACCGCGCTCACCCGGGTTGGCGGCGGCCGGCGGTGGCGGCGGAGGCGGCGGCAGCGAGGGCGCCGGCGGCGGTGGTGAGCTGCCGCCGTCGGCCGTCACGTGATGGGCACGTGACAGCGGTGGGTTGCGCGGTGGCGGCGGCTGCACGGCCGGACTGCGGCGCAGAGTGCGTGGCGACAGCGGCGGGTACGTCACGCCGCGCTGCGCCGGATTGAGCGTCCGCTGCGGTGGCACCGACAGCGAATGCGCCACCTCGGCCGACAGGTTGGGCAGCGACTGGCCGGCCGGCGTCAGGTGCGTCAGCACCGACAACTGGTTCGGCGTCGAGCCCACCGAGCGCAGGATCGGCCGCCTGCCGAATGCCGCAGGCGGTGAGACGGTGTTGGGACGGCGGTCGGCCTAGCCACTGATACACAGTCACACCAGCGCCGCTGCTCGTGTGTCGATGGGACGGCGGTCGGCCCAACCACTGATACACAGTCACACCAGCGCCGCTGCTCGTGTGTCGATGGGACGGCGGTCGGCCCAGCCACTGATACACAGTCACACCAGCGCCGCTGCTCGTGTGTCGATGGGACGGCGGTCGGCCCAGCCACTGATACACAACCACACCAGCCACTGCACGTGTGTCGATAACAATGCCGGCGATTATTGGCGAGAGGAACGGCGTCTCAGTGCCGCGTGCACCACGCTAAGGTTCACTAGGTGATTGTTCAGCTGGACGGGCGTACGACGACCTACCTCTCTGCCCGAGGGCTGAGCGAGCCTTTCAGCTTGGCAGACGGGTTGTCCTCCGACGAGGAGCGCTCGGGAAGGTTCAGCCGCTCCTCGGCCGCCGCCAGCACCGCTCTGGCGGGGCTCGTCTGAACCGTTAGTACGCTCGACGCGCCGCTCGGGTCGCTGTTGTCCATCGAACTGCTGCAAGACGACGACAGAGCCGGCGTTAGGAACACCGTGCGAAGCCAGTCGTTGTCACGCCGCTTCCTGGTAGGCGGGCATCACATCTGAAACATGTTTAGTAGTGCAGCACGGAAGGCAGCAGGAGTGACTGACCTGTGTGAGTGGATCAGGCAAGGAAGGCGGCAGGGGTGACTGACCTGTGTGAGTGGATCAGGCACGGACGGCAGCAGGGGCGACTGACCTGTGTGAGTGGATCAGGCACGGAAGGCAGCAGGGGCGACTGACCTGTGTGAGTGATCAGGCACGGAAGGTAGCAGGGGCGACTGACCTGTGTGAGTGGATCAGGCACGGACGGCAGCAGGAGTGACTGACCTGTGTGAGTGGATCAGGCACGGACGGCAGCAGGGGCGACTGACCTGTGTGAGTGGATCAGGCACGGAAGGCGGCAGGGGCGACTGACCTGTGTGAGTGGACCAGGCACGGAAGGCAGCAGGGGCGACTGATCTGTGTGAGTGGATCAGGCACGGGAGGCAGCAGGGGCGACTGACCTGTGTAATTGGATCAGGCACGGACGGCAGCAAGAGTGACTGACCTGTGTTATTGGATTAAGTAAGGACGGCAGCAAGGGTGACTGACCTGTGTGAGTGGATCAGGCTGGGGACGCGGCTGGTCCGGCTGCTGCCCCGTGGACTGCGCGAAGTCAGCAAGGCACTGGCCGGGAGCTCCAGCTCGTCATCGTCGTCGTAGAACACGTACTCCTGGTTGATGGTAGCCAGGCGAGCCTCACGATACTTCTCCTGCGCCTTCTTCACCCAGTCCACCCAGCTCTACCGAAGGCGCGGTCATTGGTTCACACAATTTGGGGGCGATGGTAGCAAGGTATGGGCGATGGTAGCAAGGTATGACGGGAGCCAAATGCACATTCGCATCTTTTCTGTTAAGGTCTATACACGGAAAAGTGGCACCACAAATCCTGCGTGAGAACCAGGGTAGGTTTCACGACCCTCGACCGTCTCACGATTGCAGCTGGAGGGGGGGGGGGGGAGGGGGATCTTTAAAGCTTAACATCATCAGGCAGGGACGTAGTTTCACAAAATAAATTTGGGGAAGACGGTGAAAAAGATGCGGTTTTCCCCGAAACTATGCCAACAAACGGGCTTTTCACCGGATTTTGCCCAACTTCCACTCGATGGGGGGGGGGGGGGAGGAAAGGCAGCAGCTTCAGCTTGTAAGACTGAAGTCCCCCAAACTACACCCCTGTGTGCGAGTACATATTTCATTCAGGCAGATCCCGGACCGACTTAGCTAATAAGAGAAGTTTCCTGTATGAACCGGCACGATTTGGAACATTTGTAATGCGCGATATAGACAATGTCTTAACATGCACCAAATCAGTTAAGTCAGCACCAATGACCCACTATCAGCTATGGATGTTGCTGCCAATCGCCGCAGAGACATTCGCTGTCAAGTTGTGAAGGCTCGACAGAGTTTGCAGCACTTTCTAGGGTTACTCATCCCTGTGAATCATGCATGGCTTTGAGAGTGTCAACCGAACAAGGCTTGGCATTACCGGGTGTCCTGTAGCCTTTGCCACTTCAACTTTGTCATATTGTGTCAAACTGTAATAGAGTGGTACAACGGAGTCACTAAGTTCATGCCGAACCAACACATATTTTGTACTCAGTGGACAAGTAACAACTAGCAAAGTTCGTTCGGCCACAGACCAAACGAGACGGGCCACCAAACATGGCATCATCTGGCCCGACTCTGGCACGGGACCGCCCCCCCCCCCTCCCCCTCACCAGAACACCTGGCCACCAGAGAGTGCGGCGAGCTGACCCACCTTGCAGTGTTTGGCCTCGGAGCAGTAGAGCGTGAACGCCGCCGTGGCCGACTGATACTCGTTGAGGTAGACGCAGAGCAGCGCCGCGTCTTTGGCCGCCTCCTGCACCAGCAGGCGGTCGATGACGTAAGGCTGCCGTATGACGCGCACCTTGTCGCCCTTCTTCGTCAGCGGCTTGCAGACGAGCAGCATGTCCGTGAAGAGAAAGCAGCGCACTTCCACCTGGCGGAAGAGGAGGCAGCGTCACCCGGGTGGTAGCAGCAAGATAAGCGGCGGCAGCGGCCTCCTCCCGACGGCGGTAGCAGCAGGGCGGCGGACCCAGACGGCGGGGCAGGAAGGCGGCAGTGACTAGTGGGAGTAGGATATGCAGGACGGTAGTGGAAGGGCGGCGGACCCAGACGGCGGGGCAGGGAAGCGGCAGTGGCTGTGGAGGCAGCAGGGTCTGCAGGGTCAGCATGGGCTGGGGGGATTTACGAGAGCATAGGCTGGCGGAGAGAACTGCACCGTTGCGACGCCATCCTTATGTTTTGACAAAAAGACAGCGAACTAGAAACATACCGTTTGATTTGCTGCCACGGAGACTTGTTAAATCAAGTCAAGCGCCTTTAAATCGATATTTATGTCAATTCTTAGCATGTCCAAACTCAAACTCCGACCCTCTCCAAATTATCAAAGATTACTAACTTCACCGTGAACCAATGCAAACTGGGATGCGTTCAGAGCCAATTCGACTCAACCTAGCTAAAGTCAAATGTCCAGTGATCTCGAAAGAACATCTCGTGTGCTGGATGCAGAGGGTGATGCATATCCAAGCGTCATCTTAGCGTCACCAATAGCTCCAGATCCACTCGTCGGGCCTGTCTGGCAGCCTCGGCCGTCACAAAGCCCCGTAGCCGCCTGAAACGGTTGATTACGGTGCGGCCCGTGCCGGTCGTATCCAGCTGGGGTCACAGGGTCTGAGTCCTGGGCGACCCGAGCCGGACCGGATAGGCGACGCGGCACCGCCGACGGAGCGCCGGGCGGCGGTCACCAGCTGGCGGCCGACCCCGTCCGCCAGACTCACCGTCCCACAGCAGATGCCGTCGCTGCAGCGGACCTCGTGCAACGGCCATGCTGATGTCTTAGCCCGGAAGCGGCAGTGTAAGGCAACGATATCTAACACCGCCATGCCAGTAGATGACTTCATGTCGCATGAGTAACGCACCAATGTGAAGAGTGGCGCGATGAATCATGATACACACCACAGTACATAAGCGCTGTCACCACCACGAACAGGGAGAAAAAGTGTTAGCTTGTTCTGGAGATCATTTGCTTTTTTGTTACACCTAGTATCAGTTCTGAACTTGTTACTCCCGCTCACAAGCTTATTAAAGTCTAACAAAAAATAGGACACGACCTTCGTAAAACACGTACGTGCGGTTCAACAGGCCGACGTAATCTACTCTTCATCACCTTCAAACAAACGCGTCTTTTAGAAGACTCATCCGTGGCTCTTTTCATCACAGGGAGAGCACCCAAGGCGACATATCCTGAACCCATTTCTGGAGCAATCTCGCCACCTCCTCAACGCCGACGTGGCCAAGTTTGCCTGGTGAGATTGGACCGCTGCGTCGGCAGGGCGCCACATCCGTCCGTCCGCCCATAAACTCGGGATAGAATGCGCCGTCTCCCAGACGGCTCGTAATTAAAGCCACTCGCTGTTTGCAGCATGGCTGCACTAATTGTTGGCCCGACAATGGCTCTGAAAAACAAAGCGGTTATAACAAAGCCCGTGGACCCACACCCACGAAGGCGGGACGCTGAAAAAATGTGCCGCCGTATGTCTAGAATGGTTAGATGCACAAAATGAAAAAGCCAACTGGCTGGCGAAATGTTGGGGAGGCTGGCTCCAAAGAACGACAGAGATGCCGGGAAAAACATCGCGGAACAGATTGCGGTCCCACGCGTGCGGTCTCCGAGACTATGAACTGCGACGCTCTGAGGAGCCACAAGGGCTGAAGCACGCCACGAACTCGACGCTGCTTTCTGCGAATACAAATAAATCCGCGGCAGCCAGCCAACCAATATCAGAAAACTGCATCGCCAGTCACGTGGCTGCAGAACGGGGAGCTCTGTGCGAGGCCAGCGGCCAGCGCCTGGTGATAGCTCGACCGACCGACCCGGCGAGTCCCTCGGTGTCCCGGCAGTGTCCCGGCAGTGCGCCCGGGGCACGCGCCGCCATTAGACCGACCGACCCGGCGGGTCCTTCGGTGTCCCGGCAGTGTCCCGGCAGTGCGCCCGGGGCACGCGCCGCCATTAGACCGACCGACCCGGCGGGTCCTTCGGTGTCCCGGCAGTGTCCAGACAGTGTGCTCGTGGCACGCACCGCCACCAGACCGGCTGACCCGGCGAGTCCCTCGGTGTCCCGGCAGTGTCCCGGCAGTGTGCCGGCAGTGTCCAGACAGTGTGCTCGTGGCACGCGCCGCCATCAGCCAGACGTCTACCAATCGGCCAGCGCTTCAGCGTATCGGACCGGGAGGCCAGGGCCCCTATACCCTCCCACCGCCGGGCGACCTGAGTGCGACCCAGATGCGGTCGAGATGACCCAGTTGAGCCGGCGGACATCGACCGGCGTCCGTCGGCGCTCGCCAGTTCAATCAGCGCCCCGGCGACACGGCCGGACGCGAGCGGGCACGGGCCGCGCGCGCTCGCGTCGGCGCCCAAGCCGCTGATAGCATCATCAGCGGCGCGATCGAGGTAATAGAGACATCAGGCCGGAGTGCGGGACACTCCCAAGGACCCGCAGCTGAGGTGGGGCACCGGGGACAACGGAAGGGACGGGGTCCGCAAGCGGGAGAGTAAGGACTCGCAACTGAGGTGGGGCACTGGGGGCAACAGGAGGAACAGAGTCCGCAGGACTCGCAACTGAGGTGGGGCACCAGGGACAACAGGAGGGACGGGGTTCGTAGGACTCGCAACTGAGGTGGGGCACCGGGGGCAACAGGAGGAACAGAGTCCGCAGGACTCGCAACTGAGGTGGGGCACCGGGGACAACAGGAGGGACGGGGTTCGCAGGACTCGCAACTGAGGTGGGGTACTGGAGACAACAGGAGGGACGTAATCCGCAGTTGGGAGCGGCGGATGTCATAACGCAGTGCTCAACTCCACCCGCCGACCTTTCTAAATTTGCTAAATGGGAAATGAGTCCAGGGGCAAGATACAGTTGACATCCGAATGATGCGACCGACGTAGGAGGCCTCCCCCTTAGGTACCTCGCCGCGCGCACAGAGAAGGGAGGGGGGGGGGGGGGGCGGTGAGGGTAAGGTAGAGTAGGGATGGTGGGAGTGGAAGGCGGTGAGGGTGACGTAGAGTGGGGGTGGTGGGAATGGGGGAGGGGGGGGGGAGGACGCTGTAAAGCGTTGTCATCCGCGAGCCCGCCTGGTGAGCCTTGAAAGTGAGCATTGAAATTGGTACGGTGAAATCACGCTTAATCAGCATATTAAAAATAATTGGACACATAAACAGGGCCAACAAACGATAAACCGTGTTTCCAATCCACCAATGGCCGAACAGGTTATTTCTGTTCGTAATATGACATCAGAACAACGACCATCCCGGACTGAAGCTATTCCCGAGATCGGCTGTTATGCCGCCGTGTCCGCAGTCTACCACTAGTCATATTTCACGTCTTAGCATGACTTATTCACGACCGGGTGAAGCAAAGGTTCTGATAGATTTGTTTTGAAATTTGTGGGAGTTTTTTCCCCTGTCAAAAGCGTTCGCTCTGGAGATGCCCGGAGCCTCTAAAGAGCGATCCTGATTTGCTTGATGCCGGGCGGCTTCGGCCGCCCAAGCTCTGATCCTGATTTGCCCGATGCCGCGTGGCTTCGGCCGCCCAAGCTCTGATCCTGATTTGCCCGATGCCGGGCGGCTTCGGCCCGCCCAAGCTCTGACCTGATTTGCCCGATGCCGCGTGGCTTCGGCCCGCCCAAGCTCTGACCTGATTTGCCCGATGCCGGGCGGCTTCGGCCGCCCAAGCTCTGATCCTGATTTGCCCGATGCCGCGTGGCTTCGGCCGCCCAAGCTCTGATCCTGATTTGCCCGATGCCGCGTGGCTTCGGCCGCCCAAGCTCTGATCCTGATTTGCCCGATGCCGCGTGGCTTCGGCCGCCCAAGCTCTGACCTGATGCGGGCGAGAGAGTTTCCGTGGGACGGCCCCGCCCCCGCGATAGAGAGTTTCCGTGGGGCGGCCCCGCCCCCGCGATAGAGAGTTTCCGTGGGACGGCCCCGCCCGCGATAACTCCCGCCCCGAAGCTGACGCCACCTCCGGGCAGCCGTGCTCACCTTTGAGGTGACGTGGTCGCGCAGCTTCAGCTCGCCCTCAAATAGCAGGTAGCGCCGGTGCGTCTCGCCGCAGCCTGGCATGGGGCAGGTGAGGTCCAGTGACAGGTGCGGCCGCGTCGCCCGCTCCAGCTCGTCGTCCTTGGTATCCTGTGCACGACAGCACAGGTAAGCATAGGTCACCTGCCGGCCCAGCGGTGACGCCCACATGACAGCACAGGTCACCTGCCGGCTCAGCGGTGACCACCGTACGACAGCACAGGTCACCTGCCGGCTCAGCGGTGACGCCCACATGACAGCACAGGTCACCTGCCCGCTAAGCGGTGACGCCCGAACCCCCAGCAATGGTATATCAGCCATCGACGCGAGGAACTCGAAGGTCGTTACGCCACAGGCTTCACAGCTGCTTCGTGCGTAGGGGTCAGTGGAAAATGCAGCAGTTGAAAATGAAATCGCATGCCTGTCATTCAAGATACGGTGGTGAACAATCAAACCGACATTGGATACTAATGTAGTGGTTCAAAAATAGTCAAACACTAGTATTGGAGCGTGGAACACAAGACAAAATCACCGTTTCATATTTCAGCGAAACAGCGTGTACAAGAAAATCAAGGGCACGAAAAAGCACCAAGGTCAATTGGCCACGTCAGCTAGCCCCGCCATGCTTGCGACATGTATGGACTGGTCGGAACGAAAATTACGACTCGACTGGCTCTCTGTGACGAATCACCTGCCACTCTCTGACGTATCACTCGCCACTCTGTGACGCATCACCTGCCACTCTCTGACGTATCACTCGCCACTCTGTGACGCATCACCTGCCACTCTCTGACGTATCACTCGCCTCTCTGTGACGAATCACCTGCCACTCTCTGACGTATCACTCGCCTCTCTGTGACGCATCACCTGCCACTCTCTGACGTATCACTCGCCTCTCTGTGACGAATCACCTGCCACTCTCTGACGTATCACTCGCCTCTCTGTGACGCATCACTTACCACTCTCTGACGTATCACTCGCCTCTCTGTGACGAATCACCTGCCCACTCTCTGACGTATCACTCGCCTCTCTGTGACGAATCACCTGCCACTCTCTGACGTATCACTCGCCTCCCTGTGACGCATCAACTACCCAGCCGATCTAATCAGGGGATGATGTCGTCGGTTTCACCTCACTGGCTCTCGATGCGGACATGATAACCACATTATGCATGGCTGCGACGGGACTGATGACTCTCCCCCGCTGTCCCTGCCAGGCGCGCAATAACGAGCAAGCCTGAGACCGGCTACTGATGCCACCCGGAACAAATAGTGCCGTGTGGCGGTCTGGCCGCAGCGCGAGCCCGCCGCCGCATCCGGCCGCCGCCAGGCCAGGCGGAATCACCTCGCGGGCGTGAATAGATGCTGCGAGAAGCGGACGTGTTTCTGCGGGGAGCATACACCTGGCACGAGTACACTCTCGAGTCAACAGGAAACTGCGAACAGTGAGCCGCTGCCACACAGAGCGTGGAGGAGTGGAACGTCCAGGGCCGGACGAGCCACCAGACACTGTGTGCAGCGCCGTCATCACCGACGGCACGTCCTACTCGGCTGGTTACCGTGAGCGATCGTCGCGAAGCTGGGATGACAAGATGACCAGCTCTCGGCAGTCATAGGGCCGTGGCGTGGTTGCGGTGTCGTGACCTCCAGAGACACCACGCCGTCTCCGTATGGAGGACTCTGACGGCGACAGTCTGGGCTCCTCGGCTGACCACTCACCACACAGTCGTAGCTGTCAATCCTGCCGATAATCTCGCTGAGCCGTTCCTGTTCGTGCCGGCTACGCAAGGATCCGTCTACGCTGCCCACGAATATATCCACGTCCTGGATCTGAAACGCGGACGAAGGACGTCCTCAGACAGCCTGAGAGGAGTCGGACATGGGAGACGTCCTCAGAGGGCCCGAGAGCAGACGGACATGGGAGACGTGCTGATTATAGACAAACCATTACAGACAGAAATAGTTATTTACACCAGCATATGCCTCGCTTGAACAATTACAGTGCCAACAAAACACTCAGAACATTAATCATTCACAATCAGTGCAGGTGCTGTATCTGGTGGAGGCGGAAAATAGAACCAAGCATGTCATCTAGTTATTCCCTTTCAGGCAAACTATGGCCATTGAAAATCTAAGACAGTGACGGAATCGCAATCAGTAAATATATAAACACACGCAAACACACACACAGACATATATATATATATATATATATATATATATATATATATATATATATGTATATATATATATATCCTCTTTGTGTACATCCTCTTTATCTTGAATTGGCATACCCAAATGAAATGACTTAATCGCCCATTGCAGTAATATAAGATTCCAGGTACTACATTAGCAGCGAAGACAGCCCTGCGTGATGCTGTTACTGCGCTCTCATGAGCAGCAGTCAGCTTCAAGCCCGTCAGCTCAACGGAAGGTGAAGGGCGTGAGCAGTGAAGTCAGCTCTAAGGTCCGTCGCAGTTTGGTAGTTCCGCATTCTTGGTAGATTGCACGCATATGTTCACGGAGCTGTTTACTGAGACATTTTCCACAGAGGCTTTCCACAGTCAACAAAAATAAACTTTTTATGGTCAATGTTATGCACATAATGTTTGCAGGCGGTGGATCTGGAACTAGCACCGTTGGTAGGCATGGAAGGAACGCCACACAATATTTTTTAAGTGCGCACACCGATGTCTCTAATTTTGCCACATGACCGGTCTTCATGCAGACCAAAAAGGGGATGTACCATTTATCAAATCCGACATACATATTGCAGTTCTATACTGACATGTGCCTTGTTCCTGTTGCCTGGGACGTAGAGTAATAGCGCACCGAATATTCATCCCCTTTCTCGCACCTGCCCTTGAGTGGCTCCGACGGTTTCGTTTCAGCACGAAGGCGTCCTGTACGGCGGCTGAAATTTATGTTCCGCCGCGACTCGATCCGCCGCGAGAAATGCGGCGGGGAAATTATTACTCCGGGGAGCGGCTTCATAGATCGCGTCGGCGGCGGCGCATCCGGACACCGCTCGTGTGTCTCGGCCGGCGGCGGCACGTCCCGGGTGTGCGCTGCACCCTGCATGCCGCTCAAGAGCGGTGCGAAGTAGGCAGGCGGGTCACGGCGTGAGGCCGCCCCGCCGTGTGTCAGCCGCGGCATGAGGCCGCCCCGCCGTGTGTCAGCCGCGGCGTGAGGCCGCCCCGCCGGGTGTCAGCCGCGGCATGAGGCCGCTCCGCCGTGTGTCAGCCGCGGCGTGAGGCCGCCCCGCCGGGTGTCAGCCGCGGCGTGAGGCCGATCCGCGGTGTGTCGGGTGTGTCCGCAGCTTCGCCCTGGCACAGGCGAGACCTCCGGCAGCGCGGCCGGCCGACACGCGCTCGTCGGCCCCGTTGAGATGCGTCTGACGCCGCCGCCGCCGGCTTCAGCTCCCGCGCAAGGGCGGCGCGGAACGCGCGCGTGCAGGCGAAGCCTTAAAAGCCGAGCGTCAATTTGTGCGGACATTTTCAGAGGAGGTGATTGCGGGGCGACCACGCGCCATTCAGCGGTCTGTCTGCACGCGGTGGATGCGAACATCCACTTGGGGAGAGTGTGCGGGCTTCCCCTTGTGTTTGAGCAGCACCGGCGGACCGACAGAGCCAACATCCGACCGTCGCGCGGCGTGTCAACGAACACGGTCTCTCCAGCCAAAAGACACGTGGTTCGGCTATCAGGATTGTTCAGCGCACAGATGACGGTCCGTTCAGAGGCGCGTCCAGCCACTCGACAGAGAAGCTGGCTGAGCGCTGAGCCGTGTGGACTCCGGCCAGTCGACCGGCCAGCCCGGCGGCGCCGTCAGTCCGGCCGCGCGAACCCTGTGCCCCACTGATTAAACCGGACGCGGCGCAACTTACGTCGAGGCGTAATACGTGTCCAGAGCGCCAACTAGGCGTGATTCACGTGGCAGGCGGGCGCCGCCCCATCACCCACCAAGGTAGAACGCAGCGCCAGACGCCCTGATTTCGAGGAGCATGTTGCATAACGCAAAACTATGACAGTTTGAGCTGCATGATTGCTAAGTTAAAATAGTGACGCTTTGTGGAAGCTGAATGCGCATCGTGACTAATATGGGCTTGAACAACGTTTAGCTTCTTCCTATTACTCATGCCTGCCAGGGCGACAAACCTCCGTATCCAGACATAAACCTATCCGGTCTCAATATAGCATCCGGGCGGTGACGTGTGGCAGGACGCTGCCCCTAAAAATAAACGTGAAATATAAGCGCCTCAGGGAGCCTTGTTTCCGAAAGCCGCAGTCCCATACCAGCGTCGCGGGCTTGGCTGGCCCTTTGATCCAGATTTGTTTAATCCGCGAGCCGGCGTCTTGTGTACGACCTGTGGCGTTTTTGTTAGGCGGGCGGCAAACAAAACAGCCCAGCCGGTAGCGGCCAGCTTGGCGCGAGCCGCCCAATTGCTGCGAGTGCGAGCCGTCGGAAGTCACGCGGCCCGCGCGGAGTCAAAAGCGCCGCCGGCGGACGGCAGGCGGCGGTGAGGCGGCGGCAGAAGGAGACGCCGCCGCCGCCGTCCGCCACCGCATTCATTGGATAACGCCTCAATTTGCCATATACGTCAGCATGTCAGCGACCAGATACGACCAGGTTACCAGGGGCTGTATTTGAAAAGACTGGACAGCTCCAAATGATGGCTTTATGCTGTATGCCATGTATAGCAGTACGCCGGCTAAGGGGCTAATGATGGATGATGGCTGATCATGCCTATTGGCCGTAAAGAGCCAGGCAAAAATGTGACCGGAAACTACAGTGACGGTGAATGGCGATTCAGTAGCCAGTTAATAATTAATGGAGAGGCAGTGTTTGGACAATGGGCATCAAATGAACTAACGGTGTCCCTCCCAACAATGATTTGGTGACCAACAGACAAAACCAGAAACTGGACAAAGGGCGACCGATGGTTAAACTGGGCTTGAACAGGACAGGGAGGGGGACAGAAAGCGACCGGGGGTGCTCGATCGTGACAACAATTCGGTGCATAACGACAGACAGTGACCTGGGGGCCACTGACGCCACTGAGTCACAGCTCGGCTTAGTGACGGCACTGAGTCACAGCTCGGCTTAGTGACGGCACTGAGTCACAGCTCGGCTTAGTGACGCCACTGAGTCACAGCTCGGCTCAGTGACGCCACTGCGCCACAGCTCGGCTTAGTGACGGCACTGAGTCACAGCTCGGCTTAGTGACGCCACTGAGTCACAGCTCGGCTTAGTGACGCCACTGAGTCACAGCTCGGCTTAGTGACGCCACTGAGTCACAGCTCGGCTCAGTGACGGCACTGCGCCACAGCTCGGCTTAGTGACGCCACTGAGTCACAGCTCGGCTCAGTGACGGCACTGCGCCACAGCTCGGCTTAGTGACGCCACTGAGTCACAGCTCGGCTTAGTGACGGCACTGCGCCACAGCTCGGCTTAGTGACGCCACTGAGTCACAGCTCGGCTCAGTGACGGCACTGCGCCACAGCTCGGCTTAGTGACGCCACTGAGTCACAGCTCGGCTCAGTGACGGCACTGCGCCACAGCTCGGCTTAGTGACGGCACTGAGTCACAGCTCGGCTTAGTGACGACACTGCGCCACAGCTCGGCTTAGTGACGCCACTGAGTCACAGCTCGGCTCAGTGACGGCACTGCGCCACAGCTCGGCTTAGTGACGCCACTGAGTCACAGCTCGGCTCAGTGACGGCACTGCGCCACAGCTCGGCTTAGTGACGCCACTGAGTCACAGCTCGGCTTAGTGACGGCACTGCGCCACAGCTCGTCTTAGTGACGCCACTGAGTCACAGCTCGGCTCAGTGACGGCACTGCGCCACAGCTCGGCTTAGTGACGCCACTGAGTCACAGCTCGGCTCAGTGACGGCACTGCGCCACAGCTCGGCTTAGTGACGCCACTGAGTCACAGCTCGGCTTAGTGACGGCACTGCGCCACAGCCCGGCTTAGTGACGCCACTGAGTCACAGCTCGGCTCAGTGACGGCACTGCGCCACAGCTCGGCTTAGTGACGGCACTGAGTCACAGCTCGGCTTAGTGACGACACTGCGCCACAGCTCGGCTTAGTGACGGCACTGCGCCACAGCTCGGCTCAGTGACAGTGCTGCGCCACAGCTCGGCTTAGTGACGCCACTGAGTCACAGCTCGGCTTAGTGACAGCACTGTGCCACACCTCGGCTCAGTGACAGCACTGCGCCACAGCTCGGCTTAGTGACGCCACTGAATCACAGCTCGGCTTAGTGACGGCACTGCGCCACAGCTCGGCTCAGTGACGGCACTGCGCCACAGCTCGGCTTAGTGACGACACTGCGCCACAGCTCGGCCTAGTGACGCCACTGAGTCACAGCTCGGCTTAGTGACGGCACTGCGCCACAGCTCGGCTCAGTGACAGCACTGCGCCACAGCTCGGCTTAGTGACGCCACTGAGTCACAGCTCGGCTCCGGACCCGGTTGCAGGTCAGCCTTCACGCCAAACACCAGGTCCCATCTGTTGCCTGGTCCGGGGCGCTGCGCCATGGGCACAATCCTGCCTTGGTAGCGGCTTCTGAAGCGCGACATTTTGATCACCAACGTCCAGAGGTGAATGCGCCATGTCCATGTAGCGGCCGTCTCACTAATTTTCACTGACTGTGCGGTTGCTTTGCTTTGTTTTACAACAGGGCTCCAAAGGTAATTTTACCACGTCACTTCGTAAGCCCCACAATATTCCTACCGCTGACTCTGGAGATTAAGCGCTGTCCGCAGCACAGTTCCCTGACCCGTGGCCCAGTCTGTCACCAGTACCTAACTGCACTGTTCCCTGACCCGTGGCCCAGTCTGTCACCGGTACCTGAGAGCACTGTTCCCTGGCCCGTTGCCTAGCCTGTCACCTGTACCTGAGAGCACTGTTCTCTGACCCGTGACCCAATCTGTCACCTGTACCTAAGAGCACTGTTCTCTAACCCGTAGTCCAGTCTGTCACCTGGATCTGAGAGCACTGTTCCCTGACCCGTGGCCCAGTCTGCCACCTGAACCTGGCAGCATCATCTCTCCGGTTGTCGGGTTCAGCCCGAACTGAGCCGCGCCGGTACTCGAGAGCAGACGTGTGGTCTGACGGCGGCCGCCGGCCCTTAATGCGTCACGGCAGGAAAATGGACGAGGGAAAGCGCTGATGGACGAGGGCATCGCGATTAAAGCGGCACAGAGTAAAACCTCCAGCCCGGACCAGTCAGTGTGCATTGGCAATATGCCAGGGCGGTTCCAAGTTGATTCAGTACCACAGGCCAACCCAACAGTCAAACAAAACGGTTAGCCATAAAGTAGCATAACGACACGTGAGCCGCACGTTACTACCGACATTTCTTGTGCATACCCCACAGAAGCCGGCGGTCGGACCCACCATTTCGCGGAGCATGTCCTGCTCCTCAGCCGGCTCGGTCTTCTTCAGAATGGCCTTGAGGAGCAGCGAGTATTTGGTGAGTCGCTGCCAAGGCTTCGCAAGGATGTCCACCAGCCGCAGTCGGTTACAGTCCTTCTGCGTTTCACACCACTGTGAACAGGGAGGGCTTGTGTCACAGCCTTGCGTCTCACGGATATCCCATATCAGGCCGGAAGAAGGGAAGTTTACATGGCACGCTTTAATAGCGGGGACAGTATCACCATTATCCGATCACGCCCGATGGACACCACTCACAATACCACCTCAAATTACGCTTATCGGAGGGGGTGGGGATGGGTGGGGTAAATGCATTTGCTTTCCTAAGTCTATCCTTTTATCAGCGAATGTCAGTGAATAAGATATCGCGCTGACCGGGCGAAAGAAGCGATCTGACTGGGACCAATCAACGGCGCCAGTGCGCTTGCTGTTGTCATGGTCCGTCTGGGCCACTGAACCCTCAATGGCACCTTGCCCCGATACGGGAAGCGCTGCGGTATCTCGGGCACACCAGGGCCGATCATGACGGCGTCGTCACGATCCCGACGGTGCCGCGGCGTCCCGAGGGGCCCAGTTACGCCGCTGCTGCGCCGTCCGGTTGAAGAGGAGCTCGTTTCCAGCCATATGGGCACCAAAACGTCTCAGGCGTGCCAGATTTCAGTCATGATGTAAATGCAGTGTCTCAGGGGTCCTGCTGTTCAAATGAGGAGGCACTGCAGTGTTTCAAGAGAACCCAAATCCGACCAGAAAGGTGTAACAGTGCATAGCAGGCCATCACAAGGTCACCAAGCTGCGACACGTGATCGCCTCGGTGTGACTGACGCATACATTGGTCATTGCGCGTAATAATTGCCGTTCACTTCACCAATAAACACGCTAAAAGAGGCGCTAGGGATTTCGGTGGACTGGTGTACCTACAAAACAATGACTTATTGAAAAACAATGCATTAATACGGCAAAGATATCCGTCCTATGTCGGATATAAAGCGAGCTACGCTTCAGTGCTGGTGTGCTACTGAGCAGTTACCTTGGAGATTAATAAAATTAACAATCATCAATAGTGTCATTTGAGGTATATTCATAATACATATAATCCAAGCGTCTATGCGTACAAAGTAGTTGCATTTCCATCTTAACTTGTTTGCGTCTCAAATTCCAACGAGACACTCGCGGCGTTCGCGCGGATTATTCTGACTGCGTTTGGACGACACCAGCTGTAACGGCTGAACGATTGTCGAGGACAAGTAAGGATGACCAGAAACTTAACATTTGCGACGTTTAATTGGCACAAGGGTCGCTTCCGGTCAACAGTGCACGACCACGCGGACTTATGGTGAATAATCACTGAGGCAGTGCAGCAGCGCAGCAGAACAACGGCATTTACAACGCGGCGAACAATGGGACATCTCATACCGTACACTCTTGACTACGGTCTCAAACTCGAATTAAATGCATGCCACAAAATTCAAGATTGGCAAGAATAAAAACATCAAGTTCAAAAATTCGATGTCCAACTTGTGGATTTTCCGGCATGCGTATCGTGCCTGATTAGAGCTTAAGACGGTGGTCAAGAGCGTACGGTGTAATATTGATAAAGATGCGCGGTCTAGGAGAGGGTTCGGTAGCGCTAAATGTGACAACTTCCCCACTATGCAGCTGGATGCCAGGGAGTGCAGGTGCGTGACTGGGCTCGGGACAACGTGGCGGAATAACAATATTTATGACGTCTCTTACAAAGACAAACGTCTTGCAGTCAGTGCAACACACTGCTCCCGCTTCAGCCTGACGGAAAACTCGCGACCGACTCAGGGCGTAGGCGACTCAACGTCCGCGCCACAGACTAACACGGTGCTCGAGTTCCATGCGGATAAAGTGCTCTCTTCATCGAAAACACGACGCCCATGCCTCAAATGGTGGCGCTAACGTCTCAACATAACCAGCTAATCATGACGCCCCCTCTCTAGTTAACACAGGTAATCATGACACCTCCTCTCTGGTTAACACAGCGCTTCCATATAAGGACACGACAGCGCCCACAGAAGGGGATAACCGAGCGCTCACAGCTTGGGATAGCCCAGCGCTCACAGCTTGGGATAGCCTAGCGCTCACAGCTTGGGATAACCCAGCGCTCACCAGTCAAATTTCCGGATAACTCCTTTCAACGCCAGGGCGCCGAGATAATACAGCACTGCTGTAGTGATAACACAGCATTCAGGTGGCGCTCACGCACGGGGTGGGGTGTATTTCCGGACAGAGTGCGCCACCGGCAGAGACCAGCATGCACGGATCAATATCCGCGGTGCACTGCGGATACGGGACATATTCTCCTAATGCTGGAACAATGACGCGCGGGGGCCCTTCTTGCAGTAACAAATGTCATTCCATGTTTCTCCCATTTACACGGGAGCAACACCATACCAGCTGTCGGAAGCAACACCATATAAGTTACAAGCAAGAGACAATATTGTTAAGCAATGTATGGCGCGCGACATGTGGCACGTGGGCTGGCAATAGTTCCAGGCAGGGATGGGGATAGCCGATAGGCATGACTTCAATGTTTCAAGCAGCGACGTGGCGATTTGCGAGGATCAACACGCTAGTTTGGACAACTAACAATGCGGCATAAATTGCACCCCACGTTATGCTCTCGAAATGAGGAGGGAAGCAAGCATGGCTTTTCCTGTGGCTCTACTTGAAAGCCGGAACAACATATTCTAAGCCTAATATTGTAGCATCAAGCAAGAACTGCATCTGGACAAATAAATAGGAACATGGAACGTTCAGTAAAACACTTCTGAAATGCAATGCGGACTTAGTCGACAGGGCTTTACACTCCCTTTCTTTAAGCATACGAACGGCATCCGTTAATTTGCTGTAACGTGCATACCACATTTCACATACGGATTGGAATCCAAGGTGCCGAGAGGCGTTGGGAGCAGTTTCCTTAACTAATCGCATGAAATATTTTGTCAGCATCTAAGAGTTTAGCGCTATTGTGCTAACAGTTATTGGCCTCCAATCTACCAGGAGATTCTGGTTAAACTACATTATCCGGCAGACATCGACTCAATTGTTCATATTAGGCGTTTCAAGCAATGCTTATAATCACGGGTGATCACAAGTATTGACAATGTCGTCAATATCTGAACTCAGGGCCTTTCTTGCCCACATCGAGTCAATGCGTAAGTTTACTTTAAAAAACTGAATCAACATCAGACGCTTGACCTTGCCCCCTTACGTTCGCGCGTGTGAATCTCATGTGTATGCTCGCAGCTCGACCGGGGTGATGTGCTCGCTCCATTGCCCGGTACTCAAAACTTAAGCTTTCTGACAATGACGAATAACAGGGGTCTTAGCAGCCGGAAACCACCGCGTCCTAGGGCGACGCTGCGGATCCCCGGTGCCCAGGCGTGGCACCACTCGGCCGGAGTCTCAAGAAGCGGGCTGCAGCGATCATAGACAGCGAGATCACAGACAGATAGCTTACGGATGCGAAACGGCAGCAGAGCCAACAGCATAAGCGCTGCGAAACTTCCCATGTCATCACCACAGCAGGCCTCCCGCAGCTCCTCTCCGCAAGAGCGGAACACAGCACAACACTCATGTCATCACCACAGCAGGCCTCCCGCAGCTCCTCTCCGCAAGAGCGGAACACAACACAACACTCATGTCATCACCACAGCAGGCCTCCCGCAGCTCCTCTCCGCAAGAGCGGAACACAACACAACACTCATGTCATCACCACAGCACACCTGCCGCAGTTCCTCTCCGCAAGAGCGGAGCACAACACAACACTAGATGTGGGCTGGGTGTGATTTACCGCCTGGTTGTTGCGGCTGCGCCTTAGTTTGATCTGCTAGGTCACTTCGGCGCGCGCTCGCCACAGCCCGTGCAGCCGTGGCCGAGCTCGAACCCAATCAGGTGGTGCGCGCTGGTGCAATAGCGAGGCCGCAACTCTGTTACCTCGCAATCAGGTGGTGCGCGCTGGTGCAATAGCGGGGCCGCAACTCCGTTACCTCGCAATCAGGGCGCTGGTGACCGCGACGCCGCGGCTTGGCTTTTGTTTGTTTCAAAGCTTGTCGCAGGACTTAATTTCAATCATGGGCAAATGGCGGCCCGGTGAAAGAGTTGCTGAAAGCTGCTCGCTTCCTTCGAAAAGCGGAGTGCATCTTCAATGTCTTTTGACACTCCCGAAATCCAACAAGTTGGCCGATGACTTTTTGCGTAATCCCGCACGAGCAAACCCGAGCCATCAACAGTCGAAACTGTTCCATGGCATGTGTCGGGTGTAGACAAATTCCATTTTTGTGAAAGACGCAAGAGCATGTTTGCTATGATATTTCAGATTGTTTCACGCTCAATGACAGGAGTGATATGCGAATCATCCCAGTTGCCGAGGCGGGACTGGTGCCCCGCCTCGGCAACTCGGTGGTGGTAAGCCCCGAGTCTCCGCATAATGTGGCCTGGGTCGTGTTCTGAGGTGATGGAGGCTGTTCTAAAGTGATCTTCAGTCTTCTAATTTCGAACTACGGCCTTAAATATTTCCTAGTTAGAAGACACTTGTGGACCTGGTAGCATTAATGAGGTCCTCATCGACAATTTGGGCACAGATAACGTTAGAGTGTCTTCGAGGTTGATAAAAAAGCCGTATGCGAAGTTGAGGGGTATCTGGACAGGCTAGACGAATGTACGAACGCTGGCTGGCCTCAGTGATGTGCCATGTCAGGACTTCATTAGGGGGGGGGGGGGGTGTAGGGTCCGACAGCCAGTCATCCGGCGCCTAGCCACAGAAAGCCATCGTTGCACATAACCTCCCCGCGAATATGACCGCAATAATAGATCATCGCGCATTGTTGACTAAACACTGAAGTAGTGATTGATGCCCACATTCCCCACGTCCATTATCTTTATTAAGTTTCATTTGTTCATGCGTGACCTTGCAACGTGGCATCGCGCCCTCCAGGACGGCAAAAGCAACTAAAATATTAGATGTATCTTTTTAGCTCAGAATGGGCTCTGACCGATTGCTGATCGCTGGATCATGTATCCCAGCTGAGTTATTCAAATATCAAGTTAAAAGGATGATCACAACCTACTTTGAAGAGCTTCAACGCTTCTTAATCAACGCAAAGTCAAAGTTGTTATCTCAATTAATACTGTCAACCAATTCATTAGAAATTGTCAAAATGGGTTTGTCAGGTTTATAGACCCTCGGGGCTCAGCTCTTTTATTATAATTCACTAATGAAGCGCTTACATAATTTTAGCCGTGAACACTTTTGAAATGCTACGTGCTGAGTGCTGGATTAAACACGTGAATATGACATGAAAGGTTTGGAATAGCAATAAACAATTCCACTGGTGTATTTACATTGAATGCATCATTCATTTGTGCATTTCATGAATTATTTTTCAATTTTGATCTAGCGCCCACAGGTTGCGGTACTTAATACGCAGCTGCATCAGTAATATTAGAATCAACAGGAACAATGGACAGCTAAGCACATAAACAATACAGTAGTAGACACACAATACACCAACAGTACAGAACATTCCAGTTTGTTATTTTCCAACTACATAAATACCCGGTGGAGCGGTGCTCCCGGCTTCCCGCATATTCCTCTGTTAAGGATAATCGTCCAGGCATAACACAGTTCCATCCAGCGCACGCAGCGCGCAGCGCACCCGCGCCGAATCAGGCGGGAAGCTAGGCCACCCGGCCTCTCTGAGAATCAGGCGGGAAGCTAGGCCACCCGGCCTCTCTGAGAATCAGGCGGGAAGCTAGGCCACCCGGCCTCTCTGAGAATTGATGATAGCAGGGCACGGGTGCAACAGTCTCCAATATGCAATTAGGTCTGGTATAATTGGATGCCGAGTCGGCGGACGTCGATCTATTCCGAGTGTAGCCAAAGGAGACGGTCCGCTGGCGAGTCTGAAGTGTGGCCGAAGGAGACGGTCCGCTGGTGAGTCTGGAGTGTAGTCAAAGGAGACGGTCCGCTGGCGAGTCTGGAGTGTGGCCAAAGGAGACGGTCCGCTGGCGAGTCTGGAGTGTGGCCAAAGGAGACGGTCCGCTGGCGAGTCTGGAGTGTAGCCAAAGGAGACGGTCCGCTGGCGAGTCTGGAGTGTGGCCAAAGGAGACGGTCCGCTGGCGAGTCTGGAGTGTGGCCGGAAGAGGGTCCGTTGAGGGGGGGGGGGGGTCGGAGTCCATTCGGAAGAACGTCCTCTGGTGGGCCTAGAGCACGTCCGGAAGGAGAACCTTTAGGGTCTGGAGTCCGGCCGAAAAAGGGTCCTTTGGGTCTGGAATCCGTCCGAAAATGTTTCTTAAGGACCTGGAGTCAGGCCCAAGGAGGATCCTTTGGTGTCTGGAGTCAAGCCGAAAGAAGGTTTGCTGATGGGTCCGGAGTCTGGCCAAAGGAAGGTCTGTTGGCGGGTCCGGAGTTCGGATAGCATAGCTGAGCCATCAGAGGCCGTCCGCCTGGATTCTCGTTATGCCAGTGGCAACGTGTGTATAACGCTGCAAGCTGCGATCACGTGAGTTCGGCTCCTGCAAAAGTGATCACGCTTGCCTGAAGGCAGGCAGGCACACGCATGTCCGCGTCAGGACGTTGTGTAACATGATGCCGAGCATTCAGGACTTTTAGGACTTTTAGGATTCAAAACAGCATTACAAGCTGTGAAAAATTATCTGTCTTGAGCACTTAGATGGAGCGATCAGCGTGTTCATGATTTTAATGGGATGTGTTCGTCATTACCACTTCACAACTTCTTGCGCAACGATGACCTTGATCCGACTGAGGTGGCATTAGGATGATGTATCTTAGATGTTAAACGCCCTTTTCAATAAAAAACTCAGTGAAGATGGCCCCACGCTGTTTAAAGGGATACGACGAACACGACATTAGTGCTACAGCAATAACTCCCACAGACTTGAGTGTTGCATTGACTCTACTGCAAAATATCATGCTTGACACGAGACGTACACAACAAAACCTTTTCTTCAAAAACTGATACACACCATTACTTTTACGGCGGTAACTAACATAGTCATCACTTAATACAACATTGTTTCTACTGCAATGACTTAAACACGACATAAGTGCTACACGACAAGCCTTTACTTTAAAAAAATGTATGCCGTTAATATTTCTACTGCAAACGTATATACGGCCTTATCGTATTCAGTTTTTTTGTGTTAATTTCATCCCTGGCTTTTCAAAGAAAAAGAAATGGCGTGTGATATGATTGCTGTCGTGGGTCTGTCGATCGTAATATCTTAAGCAGAAGTAATTTATCAACAGCATACAGACACCTTTAGTCTGATTTGGACCGTCCACGTGCTCTCATCTGTGCGCTTTCCTCGGGGATTTTGGTGAGGACATTGTGCTAGATGGGTGGAGGGCGTTTACCATTCCAAACCGCCTTTACTCCTGCCACCAGCCTTAGCCCCTTTCACTCGCACTTACACCACACACCCGCATCTACCCCTTCCGCTCGCGCTCACCCCTCCACCTACGCTTACCCCTCCCACCCATGCTTACCCATTCCACTCGCCCCCTTCCCATCCGCGCTCACCCCTCCACCCGCGCTCACCCCTCCACCCGCGCTCACCCCTCCACCCGCGCTCACCCCTCCACCCGCGCTTACCCCTCCCACCCACGCCTACCCATTCCACTCGCCCCCCTTCCCATCCGCGCTCACCCCTCCACCCGCGCTCACCCCTCCACCCGCGCTCACCCCTCCCACCCACGCTTACCCATTCCACTCGCCCCCTTCCCATCCGCGCTCACCCCTCCACCTACGCTCACCCCTCCACCCGCGCTTACCCATTCCACTCGCCCCCTTCCCATCCGCGATCACCCCTCCACCTACGCTTACCCATTCCACTCGCCCCCTTCCCATCCGCGCTCACCCCTCCACCTACGCTTGCCCCTTCCACCCACGCTTACCCGTTCCACTCGCCCCCTTCCCATCCGCGCTCACCCCTCCACCCGCGCTTATCACTTACAACCCACGCCTACCCCCCCCCCCCCCAACATTTGCGCTTGCCCCTCCCATCCGCGTTTACCACATCCACCCGCGTTTAACGCTCCCACCCATGTTTTGAGACACGGTCGCGGGGTCGCGGGGTCGAACTCAGTGAGCGAAACTAAGGATGAGTGAGCATGCCAAACAGTGACAAACCACAGTTCTCGTATGTAGACCTGGGCTTAGTGAAATTGGCGCTGTCTGTAGAACTTGGCCTACTCTTAGACTTGATGCCAGATCCACCTCTGGCCGGCCTGCACGGTGTCCCGGAACCGTACCAGACAGCGAAACTAGGGCGGCTGGCCGGATGAGGCTGTTCGGGCTAGGTTTGGACAAAATGCATATTTGCCATTATTGGGAGTTTCTTACACGAAAAAAACAAAAATAAACGTCCCCTAACAGATAGGTTGTTTAAACACCAAGTTGATATGCATTGTTCGATTACTTAGAATGTTTCTCTAGCCAATAAATGTGCTTTCTTGTGTTTAATGGCAAGCTGACCTGAGCTGTCACATCTGGAAGTGGTCCACCACCACAGCGGCCTGGCCGGCGTCGACTGCGCTACACGGGCGGACGGGAGGCGGCCTTAGAGAAACGGACGGGAGACGGCCACCATCGGCCAACGAGTCAGCAGACCGTGTCAGATGCCATTGTCAAGCGTCAGACCACTTTCCGCAGCTGACGTATAGTGCGAGCACATGCTCCAGGATGGCACGCGGCGCTGACGAGAGCGGCGCCGTGGCAGTGCCGGCAGCGGGCGCTCCAAGGGACCCCGCATGTATCGCGGGTCTGGCCAATGGCGGGCCACTGCGCAGGTCAGTCTCTTCACGTAATGTTCCGGATCCATCACGCTCAGGCAGGGCGCACGCAGGATTTTGTAAAAAGGGACGCAACTGAAAGTGTTCGTTGGAAAGCACTTTAGACACGTCGCAGGTACACGAAATTTGTACATAGCGTACTAGCATAATATATTTTCGATCTACTTTTTAAGAGTGTGTCTTGATTTTTTAAGTGTCGATATTCATTCACATGCATATCAATTCATGACAAAAGTGATTATGAAGGGGGATGGGGTAAAGTCCCCGATGTTCACCCTTTTGAATACACCCACGCACTCGAAAAAACAAGGACCAGTTCTGCGAGCTGTCCCAGCTTAAAGTCCGGCAGGGTCCGCGCCTTGTCTCAATGCCAGGGTCAACTGAACGTTTGTCTGTAACCTTGCAGAATGTGTTTTACTGGCGTCCGATCAGCGGACACCACACCAATATCCATTGGCTTTCAGGTCTCAAGAAGTAGCCCAGGCTGGCGGATTATGATGTCACTGCAATCAGTCAAGCCACATTCTCCATCCCTCCAATGACAAGCCAAATAGCATCACAAATGCAACCCTTCGCAAGCTTGTCGAAACGCCAGTCATTGATGCGAACGTGACCGCGGTTGGTTGCTGAGCTTTTATTTGCGGACAGCAGATTGCGTGATCCACTCAGGAATTATGGATTACCATGAGTCCGACATTGTCTACAGACGGGGGCTGTGGACGAGAAATATTAACGTGCATTCTGTCTCCTATCTCAAGTCCTGTACTTACCGCGAGGTAACCGTTAAACAAGCCGTTGCTGCGCGCCAGGTTTTTACAGTACAGCTTGCTGTTGTTTTGGTCCAGGCAGTAGCGGGTGTACGGGTGGCAAATCTCCTCGAACTGTAGCAAACAAAAGCCAATGTCAGAGAAGTCACCGAAGCAGCCATATGATCAGAACACTGCGAGTCAAGCCAAAGGCGACGCCTTTTCATTGCGCAACGAACTTGGGAGACGAATGAGCCGTCCCCGTCTGACCCACCACGACGAGACGAGTGAGCCGTCTCCGCCTGACCCACCACGAGGAGACGAGTGAGCCGTCTCCGGCTGACCCACCACGACGAGACGAGTGAGCCGTCTCCGGCTGACCCACCACGAGGAGACGAGTGAGCCGTCTCCGGCTGACCCACCACGAGGAGACGAGTGAGCCGTCTCCGGCTGACCCACCACGACGAGACGAGTGAGCCGTCTCCGGCTGACCCACCACGACGAGACGAGTGAGCCGTCTCCGGCTGACCCACCACGAGGAGACGAGTGAGCCGTCTCCGGCTGACCCACCACGAGGAGACGAGTGAGCCGTCTCCGGCTGACCCATCACGAGGAGACGAGTGAGCCGTCTCCTGCTGACCCACCACGAGGAGACGAGTGAGCCGTCCCCGTCTGACCCATCACGAGGAGACGAGTCAGCCGTCCCGTCTGACCCCACAGGAGCTGGGCAGGCCACTGTGCGAGAGCGTCCCTTGTTAACCAGCGACACGATTCGATGCGTTACCCACCTGAGCAAGCCCTCCCGCATCTCCGTGATGTCCAGTGGCTGACGCGACTTCCTGGCTTTGGTTAGCATGCGTAAGACGTGGTCGTGCCAGAAGTGTCTGTTGGCGGCGTAGATCTCCTGTATGTTTGAGAAGAGCTTCTTCCGTATCAACCTCAGTCAAGATGCGGCTATTCTGCAGGTTGCAGAGGCAGGACAGGAAGAGCTGTGGACATGGTTGTTATTCTTAGTAGGTCCTCTATTAGGCAAAGACCGCATCGTATATCGTGCGAGCGCACGTGTAGCCGAAGCTCGGCCAGTAGCCCCGGTGCGCCTGTCAGCGCATGTCATCCGGCAGCGCGTGGTGGCCAGGCATCAACGCATGTCCACTGTTGACTGATGAAACCAGAGGATGCCGAAAAACCACGCCATTTGTTTATATAACGATCACATATGATCAGACGGTCAGGAAAACAACTCCCACTTCACCACCCGCAGGCCAGAATACACATAAAAGTCCCACATATGAGATTGAAGCGCGTCAATCAAGATCAACGACCTCAACGCTAAACGGCTTCATACGCATCGACCCTAAAAATAATTGTGATGTATCTGCTCAAACCGAAATCTTCGAATTCAATGTTAATTCTGGCTCACCGGTACTGAGGCGTGATCCATAGCCAAAATTCGGTCTAAGTGACATACATTTGCATGGATCTGGGTAAACATTTGACTATCACAATTCAATTTCTCAACTTGTTCAGTACCTGTTTGTACTGAACAGCCCTGGTGAGGGTAGGCGACGCTCTGCGAAACTGCGATTCTGGGAAGCCTGGGTATTTGTTCGCTGAAAACCCGGGTTCGAACGAACTGATCTCTTTCGAACCGCATCCGTCCTAGATAAATGGCCACTACGAAGAGAAATTACTCCGCGCTGGCCAAGAAATTGACAATCTCTGATACAAAACACGAAGCCACCATTGAGACAGGATTCTCGCAGTCTTCAAAGATAGTCGATGGCAAGACTGTCTATGCTTACGGCTCCCAGAATCCCTGCGCCGGTATGCTATCCGAACAACGACCCGGTGCAAAAATTGCAAAAAAGCTAGGCCTCGAGTACCAACTGCGACCAGATAATGACAAAATCCCCACGTTCTCGGAACTGAAGACGACCAGCTACCGACGACGGGCGGCTGACGACGGCGGCGGTTAACGATGACGACGGCTAACAACAGCGGCGGCTGACACGACGGCGGCGGCTGACGACGGCGTCAGCTGACGACGGCGGCGGCTGACGACGGCGCCAGCTGACGACGGCGGCGGTTCGGCCGTCGAGCTGGCGCCCGCTGATGACGCCGGCGGCTCGGCCGTCTGGCCGGCGCCCGCTGATGACGCCGGCGGCTCGGCCGTGGAGCCGGCGCCCGATATTTGCAGCGGCCGCCGACGAGCTAATCTCCTGTTTTCGTCGAGCGCGGCCTACCCTGGCGTGACCCAGCATCGATGACAGAGGTCTAATCGGCGGCGCAGCGCGTGCCGTATCGAGCCGAGCCGGCGTGCCAGCGGCCACCGCCCGCGAGGAGCGCGGAGCCGCGTCCGACCGGGCGGGCGAGGCGTGGCGCCGTTCCGAAGCTGCGCACGTCCGTTCGCCGCCGGACATATGACCGGTCCGGCGACCGCAAGGGGGTCATTTGTCTGAGACGCTGAACTCGCGCCGCGCCGACGGCGCCGAAAGACATCGGAAAGACGTGCGGCTGCGAGGGGACGCAGCCCGAGAGGCGGGGGCGGACGATGGCAAACCGGGGGAAACACGGCGAAGACAGGATACCCGGGGAGGAGAGGTACTGGTGGGGCTCTCTAGGAAGGCGGCCGAGGACCGTGAAGCTGGAAAGATCGGGCGAAGTGCTGACAAAAACATGGAAGCGACGCGTCTGAGTGAGACTCATGAGGCGGAAGGTGAACGAGGCGGCGAATTATCCTCAGATGCTGGAACCGTATCGTCAGATCTCTAGCCTCTCGTGCTCGGGTGAACGAGCTAAGGCGCCCATCCCAGGAAATGTTGCCGGATGGAAACCGGCCACCGGTCCCCAGGAGACCCGATGACTCGAACGGATGCAATACAAAACGTAACACACGATATCTCCACCAGCTCAAATAGGAACATATGCCGGCACCAGACGGCTTTCAACCGCCAAAAGCCAACCGCCCGCCAGCCAGCCATCTGCCAGTGCCCTATCTCGCATGCATGCCGGCGTCTCCATAGTGGATGCATTGAGCCATCAGCGTTCGCATGTCAGGGCCATGAGCCGTGCAAGACACCCGGGGGGCTGGGGCGGCTGGCGACACCGGGCGGCGGCGGGGCGGCGCGTCCAACACCCTCTGCAGGGCCACGCTGCGGCACCCAGCCGCCGGCGGTGTGCCGGCGCCCGACCGCAGGCAGGCCGCCGCCATTCGGTCGCTCGGACGCCAAACACAGCACCGCACTTAGCCGGCGACGGCGACCGAGCTGTCACGTCTGCAGGCACAGCGCCCGCCGCCTGCAACAGGGCCGAGGGCGGGGCCGCCCCGGCCGCTGCCGGCCGAAAACGGCTCGAGCGCCGGGAAGATCCCCCCGGCCGGCGGCCGAGGGCAGAAGTTTTGCACTCTCGTTATGAAGTTTGTCTTAGGCGTAATGAGCCAGATGACTGTCAAACAAGTTCGATGCTTGAGACACGCTCTTGGTTTCGTTTCCTGGTCAGTAACTGCTAGTTAGAGCGCGCCATTTCAGCGGCATCATTTTCGTGGTGACAGTGACAGAACAGAAGTGTGGG